TTTGCAGATGATATGATCTTATACACAGAAAACCCCAAAGAATCCACAAGAAACTACTGGAACTAATAGAAGATTTCAGCGAAGTAGCAGGATACAAGATAAACATACAAAAAAATCAGTTGGATTCCTCTATACCAACAAATAGAACTTCAAAGAGGAAATCACCAAATCAGTACCATTCACAAAAAACCCCAAGATTAAATACTTAGGAATAAATCTAACTAGACATGTAAAAGACCTACTCAATGAAAACTACAAGACACTACTGCAAGAAACCAAAAGAGACTTGCATAAGTGGAAAAACATACCTTGCCAATGGATAGGAACACTCAACATTGTGAAAATGTCGATTCTACCCAAAGCAATCTACAGATACAGTGCAATCCTGATCCAAATTCCAATGACTTTTTTTTAATGAAATGGAGAAACAAATCACCAACTTCATATGGAAAGAGAAGACCCCCCGAATAAGTAAAGCATTACTCAAGAAGAACAAAGTGGGAGGCCTCACACTACCTGATTTTAGAACCTATTATACTGCCACAGTAGTCAAAACCGTCTGGTACTGGTACAACAGATACATAGACCAATGGAACAGAATTGAGAATCCAGACCTAAATTCATCCACCTATGAGCTGCTATTTTACAAAGGCCCAAAGTGCATTAAATGGGAAAAAGACGGTCTCTTTAACAAATGGTGCTGGCGTAACTGGATATCCATCTGCAAAAAAATGAAACAAGACTCATACCTCACACCATGCACAAAACTAACTCAAAATGGATCAAAGACCTAGAAATAAAATCTAAAATGATAAAGATCATGGAAGAAAAAACAGGGACAACGCTAGGAGCCCTCACACATGGCATAAACAGAAAACAAACCATAAGTAACAATGCACCAACACCAGAAGAGAAACTAGATAACTGGGAGGTCCTAAATATCAAACACTTATGCTCATCAAAAGAGTAAAAAGACAAGCTACAGACTCGTAAAAATTTCTGGTTACAACATATCCCATCAGGGTCTAATGTCTAAAATCTACAAGATACTGCCAAACCTCAACCACAAAAAGACAACCCAATTGAAAAATAGGCAAAGGATATGAACAGGCACTTCACCAAAGAAGACATTCAGGCAGCTAACAGATACATTAGGAAATGCTCATGATCATTAGCCATTAGAGAAATGCAAATCAAAACTACAATGAGATACCATTTCACCCCAAAAAGACTAGCATTACTCCAAAAAACACAAAATAATAAATGTTGGAGAGGTTGTGAAGAGACTGGAACACTTACACACTGCTGGTGGGACTAGAAAATGGTACAATCACTTTGGAAACTGATTTGGTGCTTCCTTAAAAAGCTAGAAATAGAAGTACCATACGATCCAGCAATCCCACTCCTTGGAATATATCCTAGAGAAATAAGAGCCATCACACGAATAGATATATGCACACCCATGTTCACTGCAGCACTGTTCACAATAGCAAAAAGATGGAAACAACCTAGGTGCCCATCAACGGATAAATGGATAAACAAAATTAAGGTATGTGCACATAATGGAATACTATACAATGATAAAGAACAACGATGAATCCGTGAAACATCTCATAACATGGATGAATCTGGACGGCATTATGCTGAGTGAAATTAGTCAGTTGCAAAAGGACAAATATTGTATGAGAACACTATTATAAGAACCCAAGAAAAGGTTTAAGCACAAAATAAAATATTCTTTGATGGTTACGAGAGTGGGGAGGGAGGGAGAGGAGAATTCGCTAACTAGATAATAGACAAGAATTATCTCAGGTGAAGGGAAGGACAATAGACAATACAGGAGAAGTCAGTAGCAGTGGACTAAACCAAGAGCTAAGAAGTTTCCTGAACACAACCAAACACTTCGAGGGACCGTGTAGCAGGGGTGGGAGCTTGGGGACCATGGTTTCAGCGGACATCTAGGTCAGCTGGCATAACAAAATTTATTAAGAAAATGTTCTGCTTCCCACTTTGATGAGTGGCATCTGGGGTCTTAAAAGCTAGTGAGCGGCTATCTAAGATACATCAATTGGTCCCAACCCACCTAGAGCAAAGGAGAATGAAGAACACCAAATACACAAGGAAAATACTAGCCCAAGAGACAAAAGGGGCCACATAAACCAAAAGACTCCATCAGTCTGAGACATCTGAGAAGAACCAGATGGTGCACGGCTACCACCAATGACTGCCCTGACAGGGAACACAACAGAGAGTCCCTGACAGAGCAGGAGAAAAGTGAAGTGCAGAACTCAAATTCTAGTAAAAAGATCAGACTTAACAGTCTGACTGAGACTAGAGGGACCCCAGAAGACATGGCCACCAGACTCTCTGTTAACCCAGAACTAAAACCATTCCCGAAGCCAACTCTTCAAAGAATAGACTGGACTGTAAAATGTAAAATGATACTCATGAAGAGTATGCTTCTACATTCAAGTGGATACACAAGACAAAATGAGCAGCTCCTGTCCGGAAGCGAGATGAAAAGGCAGAAAGGGATAGGAGCTGGCTGAATGGACACGGGAAATGTGAGGTGGAAAGGAGGACTGTGCTGTCACATTATAGGGATAGCAACTAAGGTCACAGAACGTGTGTACAAATTTTTGTATGAGAAACTAACTTGAGCTATAAACTTTCACCTAAAGCACAATTAAAAAATAAAGAAGAAAATTAGTATTTTGAGGCTAGCTATTTATTCTAACCTAGAATAGATAAATGTTAAAATGTGTAGGATATGCAACAAACTTCTCCTCTGCTTTTTTAAATTTTATTTTCTTTAATCTATAAATGGGCAATTGCTAGAAGGAAATATGGAGAAAGTAAAAACTGTTTATTTTACTAGAGTGATGTGATCATTACTCAGTTTTCCTCTCATTTTTATTCTGCTATTTTTTGTAAAAATAAAAAAAATTAATTCCAGAAAATGAATGAGTTTTGTGGGGAAGCAGCTGTAGAATCTCACCTGTGTGTTTTTACTGCTCGGTTAAAACCAGTGGACATACAGGAACCTGACACAGTTTTATAACCCAGTTGTTCAGACATGCCCAGATTGGCGACCACTAAAGGTACCCTATGAAAAAGTCTGAAGAAATAAAAATTTAAAATATGAATTTAAAACAACGTGAAAAATTAGCATCTATTAGTCCATCTATAAAAAATATTTAGTAGACTGCTTTTCCCATACAAGATTAAAAAACAAACAAAAAACTCCCATTCCTTACTACATACCCAAGATAGAATTTACTAACCTGAGGCAACTGGTTTTTAAAAGTTGTGAAATGTGCATGGTATAAGATAATTGTGTGAAAAAATACTTGAATGGCTATTTTAACTGACTAGCAAGTATAAAAAATTAGGTAGTATTGATAGATTTATCTGTCTTCTGCAGATAATAAAATTAATGTTAGTGGATATTCTTTTAATTCTTATATTTTATGAAAATGCAGTTTATACAGCCTATGGGGAATTCCTGTTAGACTCATTCTGGTGGATCATCAAGAACCACCTCTGCTTCTTTGCAGAGATTGTAGAAAAGCTACTCAAGTACCCAGGCTTAAGTTTAACATTATATCCTTTATCAACCAATATCTAAAACAAATATTTTTTCCACCTTAAATACTGAATAACAGCAAATCTTCGGTGTCAGAATGTACGTCAACATTCCACACTGGGCTTCTAGTTTCCTTTTCTGACCTTCATTTTCTGATCTATAAAGAACAAATGGTAAGACCTCCCTCAGAAGATTATTGGACAATCTAATTCAACTACTTGGTAGGCTGCAAAGTAATATAAAAATATTAGGCATTTTTTTCGATTAGCTTCAAAGAGCCAATAATTAGCCAACATTTACCCTTCTTGAGGTTTATGTAAGGCATGCTCCAATCGATGAGTAGAGCAGCTTTCTGTTGTTATACTTGGTGTTAGTAGCAGAAAAAGAAGTTCCTGGTTTGAAAGATGCTTCCGTAAGTTTTTGTGAAGCAGTCTCTCTCTGAACGTCATAATCTGATCTGAATGACGTCGGAATTTGTACCAACCTACCACGTTCTGAAAGAATATAGAAAAAACATCAGGTGTATGTCTTAATGGATACAAATATTATGTCTTACTGTTATAATTAAGCAATAAAATTGACAACGTTAAAAGATGACTTTCTTAATATTTTAGGGAGATAGCATATACTTTACTTTTATAAAGTATGCAAACTAACTTGCAGTTAAATTACTTCCCACTCAGTTACAGGGTTACTCTGGAATTTTGTTCAAGACAGAGTAGAGGAAAAAGGAAATTCTAAACATCCTCTAGTTTCTTTTATAACAACTATTATCTTGAAATCTTAATCTTTAGTTAAAATTTAAATCAAGAAAATGCCAACACCATTTTCACTTAATACCCAATCTCTCCCTAAAAACAAGTAAACTTCCTATAATGGATACTTGGTTTGTTAAATAAGATGAACCTATAGTTTTTACCTGAAATTTAGATGGTGATGATACAGAGTTGATTTTGAGACAGAATAAAATCATGTCAAGGGATTTGTAAACTATAGCATGCTACACAAGTATGTTGTTAGTATCAATAAACCTTTTAATGGAAAAATAAAATTTTTAGCAACCGTTAACAAAGAAAAACTATTTTGATTGCTCAGAGATCCGTCACACTGTCAGCAAAAAAAAAAAAAAAACAACAAAAAACCAAACCTGATGCCATCGAGTCAATTCTGACTCATAGTGACCGTACAGGGCAGAGTAGAACCGCCCCATGGGGTTTCCAAGGAGCGGCTGGTGGATTCGAACTGTCAATCTTTTGGTTAGCACCCAAGCTCTTTAACCACTGCTCCACCAGGGCTCCATGTTCAGCAGCTAGTTTTATATTTACACATTTATAGTGAAGAAATTAAAATTATTTCTTCTCTTCATAAAACATTTTTATAGTTATATTTTAAAATGCCCAAATAAAACTGGGAAAAAAGCCTAAGCTTTTTCAAAAAAGGATTTAAAAAAAAAAACAAAACCTTCTTTTATTGAAACTCCTATTATTCTCAAATCAAAGACTGAAAAATTTTAAGAGGAAAAACATGGTTGTTGTTAGATGCCATCAAGTAGGTTCCAATCCACAGCAACCCTGTGCAGAACAGAACAAAACAATGCCCAGTCCTGCACCATCCTCGCAAGTGTTGTTATGTTTGAGCCCAGTGTTGCAGCTACTGTGTCAATCTAGAAAAATATGGTACCTGGAAAAAATCCCGTATTTGGAAAAAAATCCATTTTCATAATTTAACCTTTTAACTGAATACCAAGTATGCTGTAGGGGATTCAAATTAAGTGCTGTATAGTCCATGCAATATAAAAAATAGTAACTGCAAGCTAAGGAGACTAAACATAGGTGTTTGTATCTTTAAAATAATAGTAATAGATTAAGTGCTAAAATGAGTGGTGTTGGGAAGACATGTTATAGGAATACAGTAGAGGGAGAGACCAATGTTAATGACCATAGTCAAGGAAAAATGAGAACAAGATTAATAGTTTTACTGACCAGTTTTGCTTTCAGAGCAACCCCTCTGAATTTCTGGGACGAACAACCCTTCAGATGCCTTACAGGACATTATGAAGATAAATACTGCTTGGAGCCCTGGTGGCACAGTGGTTAAAAGCTCAGCTGCTAACCAAAAGGTCAGCAGTTCAAATCCACCAGCTGCTCCTTGGATATGTCATGGAGCAGTTCTACTCTGTCCTGTAGGGTCGTTGTGAGTCGGAATTGACTTGACGGCAATGGGGTTTTACTACTGCTTAAAAGTTCTTTCAAAGTAATCATATTTTTAGGAGCCAAAAATAATGTAAAAAAACAACAGGTAAATCAGGAAATTTCATGATTACTGGAGGTAAAACTACAATACCTTTTTGACACTTGATAATATTTTCTTCAGTGCTTGCTCATTTACTTCACCTAAAGAATTATAAAAGCTGTAAAAGCCAAAAAAGCCAAAATTAAAGACATTTCAAATAAGCTAAAAGTATAATTTTATTAGTACTTTTTATTTTAGTTACTCTTAGCCAAACTACTCAACCAAAATCCATGTAACCATTTGCTTGTCAGATGAAATCCTAAAATACAGTAGTAGATAAAGTTCTCAAATAGGCTTAAAGTGGTAAAAACATGAAGTCCATAAACAATGAAAAAGGAAAAGGGGTGGAGAAACTTACTAAGGGATAAGTCTAGGTATCACAATTTTTACCCTAAAAAAAAAAAACCTGCCAGCTAAATACAGACATTAGAAACTAAATTCTTCATACAGCCAGTACACAATTCAAAGTTTTTTTTTTAAATAGGTACATAGAAAATACATGAGTTACAAAGCACACAACAAAAGGACAACTTATTCATTGCTAATGTATCTTAAAAAAACCTTTTGCTGTCAAGTCAGTTCCGACCCAGTGACTCACAGGACTGAGGAGAACTGCCCCATAGGGTTTCCAAGGAGCGGCTGGTGGATTCCAGCTGCCAACACCATTTGGTTAGCAGCCACAGCTCTTAACCACTATGCTACCAGGGCTCATGGTGTTTTCAATCGCCTCATATGCATGCAAAAGCTGGATGATGAATAAGGAAGACTGAAGAAGAACTGATGCCTCTGAATTGTGATGCTAGCGAAGAATATTGAATATACTATGGACTGCCAAAAGAACAAACAAATCTGTCTTGGAAGAAGTACAACCAGAATGCTCCTTAGAAGCAAGGACTTCGGACATGTTATCAGGATGGATCAGTCCCTGGAGAAGGACATTATGCTTGGCAGAGGGTCGGCGAAAAAGAGGAAAACCCTCAGTAAGACGGACTGAGAAAGTGGCTGCAACAATGGGCTAAAGCACAGCAACAATTGTAAGGACGGCACAGGACCGGGCAGGGTTTCATTCTGTTGTGCACAGAGCCGCTATGAGTTGGAACTGACTCGATGGCACCTAACAGCAACAATCTATCTCAGAGATAAAGACAACTAAGCCAAGTCTCCAAAAAGCTATACCTGTGTCACATAAATAGTGGTTTAGGGGATGGTTAGTTTTTTGTGTGGTAGGTTTTAGTTTAGGTTAGTGGTCTTTGTTCTGTAGTTGGAATGTCAAAGATGTAGGAAAAATGAGGATAAATGCTGAAGATTCTGAAGTATTTATTACTTCCAGCTTTCCCTTCTAAGAACAGAGACTGCAAATACTATTTTCTTCCTTTTAGCATTCACTGAGATCAACAATGCTATTTTCTATGATCATGAAATACTTTTGTTATGCAAAATCATTTATAAATATTTATTGGAATAAGCTTTTACTGGTGATTCTAATCTGTATGCTGAAAAAATTTTGTCACACAAAACTGAAGAAAATAGATCTTAAATAGGCAAAATATTTTTTTAACTTACAATCACTTACATTAAAAATTTCCCATTAAATAAATAAATGAAAAAGACAAAGCGTTGTACCTACCAAAAGGAGGACATTCGGCTGATCAAACTGATCCCTCCATTCTACCCATTTATACTTCCAACAGGAAAACTCTGAATATGAGAATTTATTCACATTTCTCTAGCATGGTTCATTTCTTAACTTCTCCAACTGGGGCATAAGGTACTATACCAGGGTGTGTAAGAAACCATGAAGCCCTGGTGGCGCAGTGGTTAAGAGCTATAGCTGCTAACCAAAAGGTGGACAGTTTGAATCCCCCAGCCGCTCTTTGGAAACTCTATGGGGCAGTTCTACTCTGTCCTATAGGGTTCCTGTGAGTAGAAATCAACTCGACAGCAATGGTTTTTGTAAGAAACCAGAGGATAACAGTGTACGTCTTCTGTGGAAACATCAATTTTACCTGAAGTTTTCAGAGAGGAGATGGCTTGGGGGAGCCTTTTAAAACAAAAATAGACATACTGGGCAGTAGAAATATAAACCATACAATTTTTTTTCAAGTGACTTATTTAAATAAGTTTTGGGCTTCAATGGCTGTTTCCCAGGTACTTCCCCAGACTTGTGAGTAAAGCAAATCAGTTTCAGTGTATTAGAGGAGGATTGGCAAACTTTTTTAGTAAAGGGCCAGGCAGTAAATATTTTAGGCTTTGCAACCACATACAGTCTCTGTTGCATACTCCTCTTCTATTTTCTTAAAATTTAAAAAATGTAGAAACTATTCTTAGCGCAAGGGCCGTACAAAAGCAGGTCACTGGGGCCATACTGTGTCAACGCCTGTATTAGGGCATAAAATTGGGTATTAAAGCTTATCAAACTTGAACTCCAAGAAGTGCGGTGTCAGATTTTGCTTTTAACATGTTCACTATATTATTTATAACAAAAACAGCATAGTATAATGAAAACAGCTTGGGTTAGAATTCAGAAATCTGATTCTTCTTTTTTTCCTACCATTTACTAGCTCTTCGGTCTTGGTTAAAACATTAACTTTCTAGGCCTATTATTATGTTGTTAAATGAAAACAAGGTAATAACCATTTCAAGTGGTTGTCCTCACACCTTTTCTCCCCTTGATCCCTTTGTTTTGTAAGAGCTGAAAGGCTCAGCTCTAAGACTATTAAACTGGTCTTATTATTAAGGTACTCGCCAATAGATCTTTAATCAGTCACTTTTTTTCACTCTCCCTCTTAATCCTTTGCTAGTCCAGAGGATCCCTCAAGGAGTCCCTTTTATGAGTCTCTACCAAGAATCCCTCAGTCATTCAACCAGTATTTCTGCATGTCCACTGTTCACAAGGCACTAGAGGAGCTGCACCTTTTCCTGGTATAGCAGTTTAAGACCACTTTGTTTTTCTGCTACCACCCCACCATAGATCTTTCTCACCTTAACTGTATGGCTCCTCTATAGCTCTTACACCCTGGTGATGCAGTGGTTAAGAGCTATGGCTGCTAACCAAAAGGTCAGCAGTTCGAATCCACCAGGCGCTCCTTGGAAACCCTACAGGGCAGTTCTTCTCTGTCCTATAGGGTCGCTATGAGTCGGAATCGACTTGATTGCACCAGGTATAGCTTTTACACAGTCTCTGATCAGAAGATAGTAATGCTGATTTTTCATGTATGGCTTATATAAATCATAAAACTTCATTAAAACTATGCCATATGCTGGTTACACGGATGCTTCTCCTTTGTGACAATTCATTTGTGTACTTTATGTGTTTACCTCAATAAAAAGTAAAAAAAAAAAAACCAGTATATTAGACCTAAGAATTCAAGCTTTCACCCTAGAAATGCAAAAGGAAGAAGATTAATTGGCAAAAGATAAAAAAAAAAAGGATAAATGAGTAAATAGTTGGTAAAATAAAACAGGAATAAAAGGAGAAGAAAAAAAGGGCTGCTGTTGATGATCTATGAGGCTGTCACCGAGTTTATAATATGCAATGTGGAGACTCGGTGTGAGAAGGAAAAGCGATTATGAAGGTAAGCTGGTCCCTGGGAGAGGCAGTGGAGACAAGCTAACATAGGGAATATAAACACAAGAACCACTAGACAAGATTGACAATGCACAGGTGGATTTTCAGGTATTAAAAAAAAACTTTTCATTTTAATCAACATCATCATATATAACTGGTAACTAAGATAATTTGCTAATTTTAAAAATTACTTCACTTGCGGAGAATAATTTTCATGATGGACCATTTACTTGCTCTTACTAATAATGTTACTTACCTAAAAAGCTGATAGCATGGAATATATTTCTGAATTTCTGAGGAAAAAGGGATTCATAGTTATAATTACATTAATAAAATTAATAATCATTTAAATAACATATATTGAGCTCTTACTTCATGCCAGAAAGTACTTTACCATTGAATACCTCAGTTAACCTGTAAGACAAACTATGAGATAGATGCTTTCATTCTTTCCATTTACAGATGAGGTAACAGGAAAGAGAAATTAAGTAGTTCACCCAAGTCCCAAGCCAGCAGTAGGGTCAAAATTCAGACCCGGAGGCTTACTCACAACCAGAATGCTATATTCCCTCTAAATAATGGTTCTTTTAAGAAGTTGTATTCTTCTGTCAATAGTAATACCACATCTAAATAGGAAAAGTGATTATCCTCTTTAGAAATTTTTTTTCTAGCAAATGCACCTACTACCCTCAGATAAATCCCTCTGTCTGAAAAAACACTAAAAAGTCTTTGTAACTTGTAACCTGCAAAGCACACTCTGGTGTATGTATAAGGGAAAGTATAAAAATGATGGAAATGCCATTTCTAGTTAACCAAAGTAATGTAGTAAGGTGTCAATCTTGGATTTTATATGTCAGCAATATTTTATAGTAATCCAACCTTTTAAAATAATTTGAGTACATACTCAAGAGTTCCTACAGCACACTTGCCTGGTACTCTAAAGCTTAGCCTAGCACAATGCAGTTGCTCAGTAACTATTTGCTGAATTAAACAAAACTCCTCAAAATGGGTGGCATGCTAATTTCAATTAGGG